GATTCCTCACTGCATTTTTAGAACTCACTATCAGGGACAAACTTCTCCTCTTTCATCAGAACACGACAAAGGTAAAAATGCAGAGCAAGGCGTACGGATGGTCAACCGTTCTTATGCAACCGATACACTCCACTTGTATCCTTAGAGCTAGGCGATCCAGATGTGTCAGAAGATCCCTTGTGTAACCTTAAGCTCAAAACCTTGTATAAAGGCTGCTCTAATCTCATTGTAAAAGATAAGTTGAGATGAATCAATAAAAGTCTTTTCTTCTTCTAGCTTAAAGGCTGAGTTTTGATTTCACTTTCAGGATCAACTTTGTAGAAAATCAGTATCACCATTTCATCCAGATCCGTAAAGCACCACGTGGACGAAGCATGATTCCTAGAGAAGACGACGATTGATATATAATCTCGATTCTCCAATTGCCGATATAAGCTCAGGGCCGATCGGGCTCTGGAGTTGGAGCCGTAAATAAGAAATTACCCGCATTCGCTTCTTGCTTCTCCCTGTCTCTACATCACAAATTTCTCCAGACTGTTGGTTGTATGCACTTTCAGAACTTGTAGTAGCAGCACATGCAGATGGAGAGACATTGAAGACTTTTACACCACATCGTTTTATCCTCTGGAGTGACAAGGGACAAGGCTCATACTGGGTGTTGCCACAACATTCACATGTATGGTCGAAAAATTCAAATTTCATATGGTTGTAGTCTAGTTCAGGTGGAGGATCACTGAGTTCTCCTAGCGGTAGACCAAAACGGAACATAACCAGATGATCCATCTTGCTTGAGTCGAAGCTAGCGTTTATAAAACGCATACCACTTTTGCCTCTGAAGTACCAGCGCAGCCCCAGTTGATCAGAGAAAGCCGCCGGGTCGGTTTGACGTTCAACCACGAGGCAAGTCTTAAATCCCAAGAATTCTTGAGAAAGAGAGCTCTGACGTAAAGTGACAGTTAGGGAATTTCCACAAGCTCGATGCAGGCACTTCTCCTCCTGGTAAGACCGTAGGCTTGAAGTATGATCGTAGGATGAGTTCCCGCGCATCTCCACCCAATTTGAAGCAATTGTTGAAGTTCCAGTAGTCCCATCTTGACTCCCCATATGATCTAGGAAGAAAGAGATCCTCCATTGACATTGTTGCCACCACAACTGCATCACTCAGTGCCGTGACTTCTCCACAGTCTGAAAAGTCCATTTCCACAAGACGTTCCAATCTGAAAATGTTTGCGGAGACGTTTTTCAGCCTCTCGCAACCACGCATAATTAGTACAGAGAGCCTAGAGAAATTCTCAATGGAGCAGGGAACTTGTTCAATGGCTGTGCCACGTAGATAGAGAGCTTTAATACTCCATGAAATCTGAGGAAAATTTGTCAAACTCGAGCAGCCAGTGAGATCGAGGGTTTCGAGAGATGACAATTTGACATCGGTTGGAAGAGCCTCCAGCATTATGCATCCTGCCATTTCCAACTTCACTAATCTATTCAGATTCCCAATTG